TTGCAATGCATGGACCGCCCGATGTCTTGCCACACAATGAAGGGCTTAATCAGAGGAGAATTCAACACCTCAAGGTGCAACGAACTTAAAGCTCGAACAAGGGAGAAATAGTGGACAGTGGCACTCTCCGAAATAGCCGACTGGCTAAGAATCGAACACTCTCCGACATAGCCGATTGGCCAAGAATCGAAGTCAATGCTGAGTTTAGACCACGTTTTGGACACGATTGGTTGGCAAAACACCTTCACAGATTGGGAGATCAAAACACCTTCACAGATTGAGAGTATACACTCAACCCACATACTCTATGTAACCTACAGGAGGAAATGGAGAAGTCCCACCTGTCTATGTGACCTACAGGAGGAAACGGAGAAGACCCACCATATGTAACCTACATGAGGAAATGGAGAAGACCCATCTGATCTGTAACCTACAGGAGGAAATGGAGAAGACCCACCTGATGTGAAACCTACAGGAGGAAATGGAGAAGACCCATCTGATTCTCTACAGGAGAAAATGGAGAAGACCCACCTGATTCGGTGTTCAAAGGAGGAAATGGAGAAGACCCACCTGATTCGGTGTCTAGCGGAGGAAATGGTGATGACCCACCTGATTCGGTGTCCAGCTCTAAAGACAACGCAGACCCACCTGATTCGGTGTCCAGCTCTAAAGACAAGGACATGGAGTCTGATTGTGAAACCTACAGGAGGAAATGGAGAAGACCCATCTGATTCTCTACAGGAGAAAATGGAGAAGACCCACCTGATTCGGTGTTCATCACAGGAGGAAATGGAGAAGACCCATCTGATTCGGTGCCCAGCTCTAAAGACAACGACAGAAACCCAGAGCTACTGGAAATCAAGAAGACAGCTAATGAACTGCTATTAATTAACTGCTTTATATGTACCCCCCACTCACGGGGGAAGCTGAAGTCAAAGTTTAAGGGCTAATGATAAATATCATAAAGGCTGCCATTTGAAAAAATATTCTCCAGCATTACTCTTTTATACTCGTAATGTACAGTGATTGCACATTCAATATATGTTTGGGTCACTTTCTATAGGACGTTAAGTTCAATCACTGGAAGGCAAAACAAAAAAATCGTACATGAAGAGAGATTAAAATCGTACAATTTTCTAGAGCATCGTCTTGATCCACACTACCAAGAGGTGGCTGTGGCATCTCTCGAATCCCAAATTTATTCAAAGGCCACGTGTTGATCTCCATTATATCTTGAATTTGACGCATCCTCATTAGACCAAGAAGGGATTTCATTTCAAAGTTGGTTTCGGTGGCAGCTTGGTCGAGGATCTGTGGTACCACGACCACCTTGCCGGTCTCCAACGCGTGTTGGATCAGAGTTCCTGTGTAGGGCTCTGTTCCAAAACTGATATACACCGAAATTCCTCTACATCTTATATAATAGTCGTGCGCCAATACCTACCAAAAGACGTCTATTTTAGGTGAGCACATTTTATCAAAGCGCTACTTATTTAATCTGAGTAGGCTTTGTGTTTTGATTAGCTTACCTGATGGAAGAGAAGTTGGGATTTGTGCAATCTCACTTCCTCTGGAATGCTAAGAAGTACCTTCTTTATACGTTTTCGAAGAGCTTGCTTCTCCTGGATAGCCAGCGAATCCTTTTACAAACATATATACTATGATTTAGGTTCCTATTTTATTTAAAGTATTCACTAAATAAGAATTGGTTATTATTTATGTAGTTTACAATGCCAAAGGAATCTCATATGCACTGGAACAGTCTCAAACAGAGATGTGCCCGTGAAACTGATTTTAGCCAATCATCTATCAATATCCTCTACAACGTATCGGAGCACCAGATGTACTTTAATGACCAAGTTTTGTGGGAGTTGTGGTTGCAAGCTCTAATGCACAATCCATTTTATGCGTTTTGTTGCCTCAATTCTGCTGAGGTAGCTGTGGCAATTTTGCCAGAGAGAGAGAGAGAGGATTGTTAGAGTAGCAACCGCTGCAAACTAGTATTAGTACCAATAGCAAAATTGGTGACAATATTTTCTACACCAAGTGAACATAATGTGGTAAATACACATTGGCGCAAGAACTCATTGGCTGTTTCAACTCACATTTTGCGCCTTTTTTCCATCAAGTCTCATTCACTTAGAGAGATTGTTAAGGAAAGAAGGATGGAGAGCTATCACTTAGCAGAGTGGAAATAACTCCCAGAAACATCAGTCGAACTTGGTGCGATTCAAACGAGCACTTGCAGCAATAAATTCAAAATAATTAGGGTTAGGGAGAAATTTACAAGTTGGGGCAGACGTCACAAGCGCTCGTTGCTTCATGATATCCAAGGCCTAGTAATCATCAAACAGCTCACAAATCACTCCCATAGTGAATGAGAAGGAAAGAAGAGTGGAGACAGAGTACCCCCGACATTAGGCCTCCTAGTGGTCTGACCACCTCAGTATCGTGCAAGTCTACCGCTGTGAAATTACAGCTTCAAAAGATAAGACTAGTCTAGCCCCATGTAATTGTGATGATCCAAGTATTATGGGCACAAATTATTATAAACACAAATTCGAGCAGGGAGCTAAAAATGTGTGGAAGATGACACAAAAAATACGCTTAAACACCAAGTTCTAAGAGCAGCACAGTTTTGCGATAAATTTGCTATTAGAGGAAACCACAAGCACACAAACACACACACACACATAGATTACTTACCATTTTTTAATTTAAAACAAACTGAAAAGAAAGACGGGGAAAATAATTAATTTTGGACTACCCTATAAAGACTAAGAGAAGAGAAAGGTAGACAAAGTGGCAGTCTTTATTTACATCAATATTTATTTACACACACACACACATGTATATGCATACATACATATGCATATGCATAGTAATCTCATAGAAGTTCAAGAAAGTCATTCAACGAGGAGCGTCCACCTTGTTTCTTTTGATTGGCTGCACTGGCCTGCTGGAAACGCACTTCTTTGGCCAGTTCCTGCCTCTTCTTCCTCCTACGACTCTTCTTGCCACTGCCACTACTACTACAATGGAAATAAGACGCCAAGAGTTCGAGCTTACCTAGGTGTTGAATTCGAGGATAAATTGAAGATATCTGCGGAGGGGGAGGAGGATGATGATGTTTTCGTCGCTTTTGGAGTTCTGCAAAATCTAAAAAAAAAATCTAATAAAAAAAAACGCTAGAATGCAATACGGCCTCAAGGACATTAAACTTTTGTTCGGACAAGAGTATTCCATACGAAAATTAAGTTAATGCGATGGAATCTACCTTAGTAAAAACCCATTTTTTGATCCAAAGTAGTCCCTATTAGTCATTACTTCGAATTGACCCCCTACGTATATACTACACGTCTACCACTCATGAATGATGAACTCACTGGAGAGTCTGGAGAGGAGCCTTTGGGATTGTAGTTTGTGCACTCACCCGGACTTTGCAATATCGGCACGTGAAAGTCTAGAGAAAAATGAGGGGGGAAGTAGATGTCCACCTCAGGAAAAGGCCATACCTCCTTCACTTGATGCATCTCCATTCTATTCCTGCTCCTTTTCACCGATTTCAACCGATACTTGCGATCGGCATGGGCGAGCGTTCGATAGCATCCGAGACAGACCTCGGAGCAACAATTCGGTCCTGCAAAATAACCAGGAGAATGGATCTGTAGTCTGGAATATAGATTATCAAATAGCAAATAGATAAAAATGAAATAATAATACTAATCTAATCATCCTTCGACACAATGCCATAAGTGAGAGTAAGAGCAACCAGAGATGTCCGTGGAGAAAAATAATTAGCTCCTTCTACCCCTTGCTAGTAAGTCCACATCGAAGCGTGAAAGTTAGGATGTCTAAATACTTAATCACTCCCTTTGCACTAAATTCTCAGTTCCATTCTACCTCAGAGCTAGAAATCGGAGGGATGCCTCTCAGTATATCTTGTTGGATTTCTAAAGAAGGGGGCATTGTATGACAAGTATGTTCACAACAAAGCATTAACAAGTATAATTCCGATCTAGATCTAATGAAGACAAAGAGTGTATAAAGTTAATGAGAGAATAAACGTTAAAATAGCAGACTGCAAGGAGTGTTTGTAGGGAAGAAGTTTCTACTAATCGGGTCCCCTAATTAGACCATTCAGCGCTGATCTTCCGAGTTGCGAGACAGAAATTGTAAGTCATGCCATACGTAGTTAACAATTATTATTATTAAAAAATGGAAAAAAATATGAAGGGGAGGGGATGCTGATTTATTTAAACTTACTTATAGGAAGAAGAGATCGGTGATCGAGGTACCTGGGGTAAAGAAGTTTTCAATTAACGAAAAGATGCCACCGAAGTATTCAGTCGAGATAAATACGTACCGATTATAGAGCTGTTCAATCGGGGTGCCTTTAAATAAGTTTCTCCTGGAAAGACATAGCTTTCTTGTCCTCTTGTTGAATTCGTCTACAGACATGGTTCCTGAATCTGGGATAGAGAGAGAAAAAAACAATAAAACCACCAACGAGCAAAGTGATGTATCCACAAACAAAATCAATTTCAACAGCCAACATGTGAGGGCGAAGTAAAACATGAAGTCAATTCTTCTAAGTGAATTATATTGAAAATGACTTGTGAGTGATTATGGAAGACAATCTGAAGAGAATAAATTCGAAAAAAAGTTAGTGCTGTTAAGAGAAGAAAGCGAGCCTCAAACACGGATAATTTGAGACAATTTGGCAATATTGTCATCAGTTCGACTATGATCGTGTGATGGATGACTGCGTTGGTAGAGCCGCAGAAGATTCTGATAGACACCCACTTCAAAGGCGACTCCTTGTTCAATCACCTTGTTTACCACAGACTGAAATAGAATGTAAGATTAAGCGAAATAGGCAGGCTACTAAAAACAATTAAGTAGCAAACTACACACTTCAGGTGTGAGATAGAAGAGTTCGTAGAGTTGTTTCACGCGAATCAAATCAGATTCGTGATTTTCAGTGAGGAGCGCAAGGGTTTGTTGAAGTTTGTAGATATTTCGACACATCTTTCGATTGCCATTCACATTCATGCGAGTGATTTGAGGAATGAGGCGAAGGAATATTTGTGAAATGAAGTCGCCCAATCCGTCGAAAATGAATCTGATCTCGTGGGGACAATAGGCGTGGACAATACTTTCCTGCAATTGATCCCAATAGACGAGACACTTAGTGATCTCAGGGTCAACGTCGACTTCATCCACGGGACACCAGAAATTTGCAGTTCGAGGGAGATTGGCGAGGAGATTGTAGGCTTGTACTCGAACGTCCAAGTAGATACTCAAGAGAGTAGCATTAGCCAGTGCAGTCAACTCTTCTCCGACTGCGACAAATGGGGCAATGTTGAAGTCAGACTCCATACTGCTCTCAAGCCAGGACAACCAATTCTGTACACAAAGTTCCAACCAGTGCTGGAAGAGACAAGAGCACCTCCAAATGTTAATAGTGACACATACGAAGTGAGAGGTCAATTAATGGCTATGGTTACAAACATATGAATAACCTAATTACCGCCATGTGTTACATATTAATTATGTGCTCCTGGTGTATTTTCGAACTTTCGCATTATCCCTTTGCGTAAACAACAGTGAGAAGCACAATAACCACAGAGCTAAGAGAATATAATTGTTACATAGGGCTTAAAAGTATGGCTGAATTTGGTGGTCTCGAGAAATGGCAAGTTAGCAGACAAGTTCAATGTACTTTCATACACACACACCTCCTGTTGACAAGTCCCTCCTACCTACAGTAGTTGGCAAATATCGACTCTCAAGTATTGCGAAAATGTTGATCAGAGGAGTTGGAAAGCACATGCAGAAAAGCAGACACATTGAGAGAGAGAGAGAGAGAGAGATGAACATTTTGACAGGCTTATCGAAGAGCAACCCTTTGTACTATTACCAGTTGAATTAGCGCATAATTGGTGCCACATAAGAGAAACTTACCACTGACTCACGCAAGCGACCCATACTCTTAATTGTAAGCATTCCAGCCGTAGGCAGGCAGAAGTCTGTGCTCGAACCCACCTCGTCTCGAATTATGTGCAGCAGATTATCCATCTCCTTCCTCGCCAATCTGGTCGTCTCCCTCTCGTGCAATAGCTTTACAAAAGACAACAGTAGATTAATTTCAAATTTTCTTTGAAAAAAGTCATTTTTTCGTCATTTATTGTAATAAATTGGACTTTAAATAAACTACCGTGCATTTTTAGCATTTTCAAATTTATTAATTTGTGCATAAGAAAGCACGTAGTAATTTCCAGATATCTTCGAATGTACATCTACCAAAATGTGGGGTGTGCGATAGACTTACCTCCACGTGGTCCACCCTGGGCAACGTATACTCATACGGCAAAAAAGTCTATTAATCGGCAGTTGACTTCTGACTTCAAATTGTCATGACTCCACTGTATGTCATATTCGATCACTTCCACCATACTTATCCTACCTTTTCTCTGCCTTTGTGTCTGTCTGTCTTTTTAACATCGTTAAACACTCTTCTGTTCACCCCCCCCCCTCCCTCTAGACTTTTTTCGATTTGATGTTCCTCTTCCTCTGTGAAGCCTGAAGTCAACTAAAGGGCTAATGATAACTATCACAAAGCCTGCCATTTGATATAAATACATTTACCGAAATGCATGCTTTGATCATAGAGGAAAAAACTTACGATATCATCATGTTTGGAGATTCTTCTCACACCACTAACATCTGATGCTCCGTCAATACCATCTCCCTGGCCAAGAGCAGAATTAGCGAATGGAATGGCCTGAATAGAGGGTCCACCTGTGAAAGTGGGATCACTGCGTCCATTGAGTCCCAGATTTGAGAGGCCGAGAACAATAGCAGCGGCTGCACTCAAATTAGAGCTCGATGTAGTGGTATTTGAGTTAACAGATGAAATTGACTGCCGATCTCCGGACAATTTTTGAGAGGTTATACCATTTCCTAATTGGGGATCATGCGGGTTACCTACTGTGTGAGTAGTGCTGGCAGCTGCAAACGCATCGGCTGCCATCAACCTCTGCCATACAGGAAAGTTCCTGTCATTGTTTTTGAAAAAAAGGGAAAATCACACCATTCATTTCTTTTTTTCAGTCACAATTCTACTGCAATAACGTTGCCAAGGTGATTAAACTTACGTCCAAAATCTACTGAGATCCTTGTCTCTTGCCCACTCGGCACTCGGAATGGCCGCTCCACTGCTAACTGATACGCTTATACCTGTTTGGGAAGTGAAGAGGGAGAGAGAGAGAAGGAGATTGCAATAAATGAATGACTATGGCCTAACGAAAGCATTCAAGGTTAAAAGTTTTCAATGGAAGAAAAGGAGAGAGAACTATTTCCTATCGGGAAATGCCATAAAATCTGCTTTAGACCAATGTAATGAACCAAGTGATAAAAAAGCCGACTTTTTGGAAAGTTAAAAAAGCCTTCTAGAAGAATATGGCGCAGTTTTCACTCTCTAGATTCAAATTTGACGAAGAACAGGTGGAAATCACGCCAACCTAGAAGCCAGTCGCGCGTCAAGGCGACGGGTGGATTCGTTTTCCCTGGCCAATTCTCTCCCCTCATCACTGATTTCGTCCACCGCATAACTTCGGGTGTGGATTAGTGACCAAAGCGAAGCATTCGATTTGACAGATACCATTTATTCATGGAAATCTTGTAGTTCTTCGTCTCTTTCAGCGCGAAGAAAAATTGGAAACATATGAAAAGTTGATTCACTAGAAATATTAAATCTTATTTTTTTTCAGAAACTAGTCACTTCTTCGCACCGCTTTAAAGCAACACCTTTACCACTTGTTTCACGCTTTGCTACATATTCTAACGCATCAATTGGCAAAAAGTCAGCTAACAGTAGCATAAATAGTGCAATTTGCTCAACCAATAAGAGTGCGGATGAAATGCAGAGGGGAGAAAAACACGCACTCTTGTAAACGGAGGAGGTCCACGAGACGAATTTTTCCAGGATTGAGAGCCCAATTTGAGCGCATTTCAGCATGTAATTCGGTAGTGCAGTGGCCATCCCCTTCGTCTCTCCCAGCGCCTGATTCGTTAGATATGCCACCTAAAGGGAAATGTAGGTGAGAGGGTTCAATACCCTACAAATCGAATTAGGAAAAGGAAGCAGTAAAGCCAACCATAAGTATAGGCCTCTGAAGACCGAGTTCTCGTTGAGTCTGTTGGGGAACAATCATTGTCAATGCATCTTGGCCTAAAAGGTGAAATTAGAAGAATGCTTTTTAATCTCCCCTCCTCACCCCACCCCACCCCCAGCAATCTCTCAAATTGTCTGACAATAAAGACCACTCTTACTGGACACGGCGCTAATGATGGGCTGCTGGAGTTGGATTTCCGCATTGGGGAGGTAGAGTTGCTCAATAAAGTTGGTTAGAAAGACTCGGAGTTGACACCGGACCTGAAGCCTAGACAAGAAGAAGAAAAAGAGGAAGCGGGGAGAGATTTGGAAGGTCGTGTTTAAAGGCAACTATTCTTGCTCGGACAACAGGGCAAACGGCGAATCATGCCAAAAAAAAGAAAAAACAAATTGGAGCACGCAAAAAGGCACAAAACAAGGAGAGAGAGAGCTCAAACAGTGAAGAAAACAACTTACTTATCGTGGTCCACATTGTAGTATTCAGCATTGACAGAAGCAAAGTCTAAACTGTTGTTATAAGGAGGTGGGGGAATAAGCGATAAAGGAGATATAGAGAGAGAGAAAGACAGGCCAAAAAAACATGCGAACACGACTGATTCACACGTTGTGACTAGACAGAGAGAGCTAGAAACTTACGCGGGCAATTCAAAGCTCTGTGGTTTGGTATCTCCACTAGAAAAGGAGCGAGGTTTTAAAGGTCTTATTCAGCAAAAAATTCAAAGATGAAGAGGGAGAAAGTCGAGACAGTCAATACAACTTACTTTTGAGGCAATATTTTAGGAGCTCCCATTGCCAAGAGAGCAATTCGAAGACCTTGGGTAACTGAGGCAGAAGTAATGCTGCTTCGATTACCTTTACGAGCGGGAACCGGAGGTGGTTGACGTCGTCCACTGGCGGTAGTTGAACCCGCTTGAACGTCCGCTTCAGCAATCGTCAAATTGGATTCTCCATCGAGAACACGTTGCATAGCATTTTGGGCCGATACTGGCTGAAGTTCGATCAGTCTGGCAAAAGTGAGGACTAGGGAGTAAATGACCTTGACATTGTCAGCGCAGGGACGGCAAACGGTTGGATAGGAGGCCGTTAGTTCCATCGACATTCCACCCCCACTGCTACCTCCGTCAGCTTCCATAGAATGTTCCGATGGCATGCCCTTACAATTAGAAAAGAAACTATAATTAGATAAAGATGGCAATTGGGATAAGAGCCTGCATCAGTTAACTAAAAGATTCAAAGTCTAACGATATCCCTAACTTTCGGCGTTGAAAATTCACTTAGAAGAAAAAAGTGAAACAATAAGTTCGTGAACCTGGCCATATTTTAAACTTAAATAGTTGCGACATTATGAGACTGAACAAAACTTAAAACCACCGCAAGCCTTAGAAATAATCACATGAACTCACAAAAGGCATATTGATGCGATTTTCCCGAAGATAGCTATTCAAGCTCAAACTATGAGCCGTCTTTGAGAAACTGAAAAACGGTTCCCCATTCCTGGCAAGCGTAGACTCTTCGCCACCTGTTGCACTGTTACTGCTGCTACCATTCGCTTCCGTATTGGAATCGCCAGTTACATTTGAGAGGAAGCTTGTGATCGCGCCACGCTTTTTCCCCATTAGAGCATTCAAGTCCAACTTGCTGGGATTGAAATTCGCCGCTGCTGCTGCCACGGACGAGGGAAACAAATCCTCCCCGTTCAGGCCCTTTTGACTTGAAAGGTGGGCGGAGAGAATGCTTTGCACCTCCATCTGAATATACCCCCAGATGTGTTCCTCGGAGAGGGCATCCAAAAACTGAAAGGTGACATTAGGGGTGCTCTCCCTGATTTTCTTAATGGTATTCAGTACTAGCATAAAAGCATTGAAGTGCATGCAGAATGCGGGAAAGAGTAGTTGCAGGAGTTCCACAAGACAAGTCGGATCCGCTAAAGTCGATGCGGGTGAGGTTTCACCTTGAGCTGCTAATCTGTAATTAAAATAGGGCAGAGGATTGCACAACTCGCTTACATCATAAGAGGTAGATATCTCGTATGAGAGTCTTACATTCGTTCTACCTCAGCAATGGCGGGCAGGGTGATCGAATTGTGCACTTCTGTGATCAATCCCCTTCCTGGGGAGTACATCTCATTGACGTTTCGGGCAGATTTTGAGGTCCCGCCTAAACTGTTAGCCTCAACATTCTGTACCTTCATTCGCCAGGTGTAGAAAGCCTAGAGGGAAACAATATGATTAACAAACTCGAAAAGAGTGATAGAGCTTCTGTGGGTTGTAAATCACTAGAGATGCACCAGCACGACGATGAATTATCATTATTCACCACCAGTAAAGTACGTTGAATGAGAAGGGCGCAAAAGAGGACACATTCATGATAGTGCATGTATTCTACACAGAAATTAACTCACCAAAAACGAATCTACATTCCCGCTCTGAGCATATTGTGCGTGCATGAATAAAAGAGAAAATAACATTGGGGCAGGGAAAAGATTAAGGAATTATGTTTCATGAGTTACCATGGCTAAAAAATGCCAACTCGACACTTATACACATGCATTATGTTATTATCATTTCAAAAAATGTTATTTCACGTCGGCGAAATAACAATAACCTGGGATGATAGTACCTTGAGAACAAGCAACTGCCCTTCTTATTAGGGATGAATAGCGTCAACTAATAGACATCGTGAAAAACAGAACTGAGCTTTGTCTCAATATGCAAGGGCACAATAACTGATCGATACAGAAGATCGCGCTCTTTTCACCCCTCCTCTCACACCCCCGACTCTCTCTGGAATTGAATTAGCAATAGTCAAAGTCATAAGAGAGCGTCAATTAGGCGTTGAACTAATGGTAGCTTAAAATTACAAAATGAGCATTCCTTAAAATTCATGGTAGGAGCAAAAAAGGCTCCTGAGGAAAATGGCCCTTTCCATTCTAATGATTGTGGAAAAAGTTACCAGTCAATGTTCAAAGATGCGTCCTTAGTACGAGTGAGGTGTTTTTTTAATAGTTTTTATTTACATATTTAAGTGCAATCGCTTTAGATTAAGCGAAAACAGAAAATGCAGAGATTAATGAGAGAGAAAAAATAAGCTTGGTTTAAAAAGGAAGCCTTAGGAAAGTAACAAATTAATATGAAAATAAAAGTTTCTAATCCTACGGAGATACGGATTTGGATATAAGTAACGTACCTGGGAGAGTTTCTGAAGTCTGTGTAGACAATGAGTTAGAGCAACAATAGATTCTGCCCATTTTTTCTTATCAGTAATCATAAAATCACCACTCCGGTCGCCTCTACCGTGTGACCGACTACTTTTTGAATCTCTAGTAGTAGACCCACTTCCAGAACTCGTTTGTCGTTTAGCTAAGAGATTTGCGGCAAAGGCCTGTGGGTCCTTGAACAGGCTTGAATCAACCTCGGGAGCATCAGAAGACAAAGAACGCCAATCTGAAAGTGGCAGATTACCGAAGACAGAATCATCATTGATTGAGGAATAACGTCGATTTGGAAGATAAAAATCCGAGAGTTGATCAGCTATATCAGGCGCAAAACTATTGACAGTACCGAACCTCCAATGTAAAAGATAACTTACCAGTTATGTTTTTCACTGATAATCAGAGCAATCGGTTGATTGAATACCAAATAGAAAAGGTTTGTCCTCATTTCATCAATCAGCAACTGCAACAAAATATGATAAAGTAAGAGAAGCAACCTTTTTCTTAGCTGCCAATTCAGATTTAACAACATCCAAGGCTGGCACATGATCAACTTCTTTGGTCATTATTTCAGTGATTTTGATTAGATATTCAGTTGCCTCCGGCCAAGCTTTAGCAGCGATAAGAGTTTTCAAAATTTCTGGGGCGGATTTGACTCGATCAAGAACTTCAATAAGCTCCATGGAGCGCCGCTGTTCAACTAATTCCAACCAAAGACGGCGTAATTCATCGCGATTAAAACTGAGTAAGCTTTTGCACTGACCAATGTCTCGCTTCATTTTCTGGACAGCTTTCCTATTTTCTAAAAATATTGATCAAACAGGTGATATTCAATTTGTACTTTCAAGATTTTGGGAGACATCTCGGTACACATTCAGAATTTGTGTAACTTCGCTATATTTTTCTTTAAAAGATAATAATAAATTCACAATTCAAAGATACCATTTAAATAAACGTTAAGAACTTCCTCAGTTTCAGTATAATCACGTTCCAAAAGACGCCGTTTTCGTTCGCGCACTTCTTTGCTGCTACTACAAAAATAACTCAATTAAAATACGAACTTCTCGAGAAGTCCATGAATAAAGGACATCAAATAAGACGATTGTGTCTAAAAGAAAGCATATCATGCTCAAAACAAAATACCATGATTGTGAAAACGGTGCAGAAATTGAAGAGATGACTTTATTTGAAGGTTTCTAAAAGGCAACCAAATAAGATAATATGCATTAACACGTTGTTGCAAATATTTCGCAGCGAAGCAAATCATAAAATAAAGCTTTGATTAAAATATTTGTAAAATAAATATTTAATATTTCAGGACAGGATATACGAACCAAGGGTGCGATACTAAAATCTATTTACCCCAAGGAAGCATATAGAACCACCAGCCGATTGATTTCCGAGGTTAAACGCGCAATGTTGACTTCTGAATAGCGTAGTTTCTTATTCATGAATTTAAACAAATTTTTGGTGTTTCTTTTAGCTTATTTTAATTAAAACCTAATAAAACTTTAAACAGATTAACAAGTTCTAAATGACTGAGTGCTCATTATCATTAAGACATATTAAACTGAATTTCATAAAATTTGAAGTTTTGTGTATCTATATGATTTTGTAACAGAATTTATATTTAATTGACATTTCTTATTTATCCAAAGCTCATTCAGAAGAAGCGTGAATGATTTCCTCATAAGAAGAACCTGGTTTCTGCGTACGTACAGCATGTTGAAGTTGCCATTTATATTTTCATGTCCAAATATTTGAAATTCAATAAGATTAGTAAACACTGCTTTTAAATATAAAAGCCTTTTGTACTGATAGAAAATTAGTCACCGTCGGTCTATGAATATCACGTGTTAAATGATACCTGCCTACTTGTACAATTCATGAATGTTCTATTAATTTGGAAATAGTTGAATATATTCAGGAGAATGCGATCATAAAACCAAATGCTAAACGTAATTTGCTTATCAAAATCATGAGTAGTAAATGTAAAATAACAATACTTAGGAACATATATTAATTCACCAGTGAAGTGTACTATTTTATTTAATTTCCCTTCGTCTAAGTGCCTTTCCTCTTATAGGAGTGAAAATAACAGAATGAAACTACTTCATAGCCTTAGTTTTTAATAAAATAGCTGCATCTTTCCTTTGAAGAGTGGGTTAACTTAGGCTTATATATACAAATCTTCTCACACAAGATTACATAGTCAGATGTAAGTCAGTTGACTCTAACTATAACTCCTTAGATTAACACCGTTGATTATGAGCTTGAAATTAAACTTAATTGAGAGATAAATATTATTTCCTGCCGTTTTATTTTGAGTTTCCAGTAGTTCAATATTTTCATAGATGTTAGATGGTAATAAAGTGTATATTTCAAATAGTACGAGTAAGTTCGAAAATTGATATTTTTAACTACAACTAAGACGAATGATAAACTATTTATTGCTTGTTATGGCTGTTATCGTCATAATACATTTCAATTTGTATAGGAACGATCAATTTTTGAGAGATTACGAAATACGGATCAATTGTTCATAGTATAAGCACTTTTTATCCTGCTGTGAAACATTACGATTTCTTGGTTCTATGAACATTGAAATCGCATTAAAATTGACTTCATTTTCAGAAATTATGAGCCTTACAATTTTACTTCGTTCACAAACTTAACCACATTTCTTTATTGTACGAACCAATCGTAATTGCCGAGTTGAATCAGCCAATAAGCAGTCTGAACCAATAAGAGGAGCCAGCTTATTGATTACATCAAGGTAGCCGCGCAATTTGATCAAATCAACAGTTGTATTTAAAATAGGTTTGCTCAATTTCCTTATGAAACATTTTATTCTTGTTTTATTTCATTTTAATTCTCTTATCGCTTTTGTTAAACCCGCAGATATTTTCTTTTTGCTCTTGAATAATAGGAATGGTTGGAGTTATTTTAGAAACTCTTAATGCCAAGAAGCTAATTGCTTTCGGAGTTTTTATACTGATTGCTCAAACATCATTCTTCTTGATTGGTGGTCTTATATCCCCGGCTCCAAACACTCATGAGCAAATTCTTCTATCCAAATGCGTTGATCGTGAAAATCGTAAAGATAAGTGGTTTTTTCTCAGACCTCATTCGTCTAATCAGACTTGTCGTGAGATACTTGATGATGATCCACTTGAAGAAATTGGTGCATCAAAGAACATCACTGCGGACAATATCGTATTTGTTGCCCAATTTCCTCATCCAAGATCTGGCTTCGATCTCAAAATGACACGATGGTTTCAACAAGTCATCGCAGTCCTAAACCTTGATATTAAGCAGAAGTATAACATAGAGGTATGCATTCATATTAAACCAATATTTTTACCATTCTTTTGCTCGTGCTGATATTTTGTTTAAAAAACTACACACTTTTGAAAGCTGTAATTTTTGTGGATTAGTTCTAACCAAGAATTATCGTGATATTAATATATTTACTGGACATAGCATGAGCATATCGTTTACCGAAAACGAATGTTTGACACGTGCTTATGGATAGACGAGGTATTCAAATCTTTAATTAAATCATTATTCACGACGTAAACACAGGACAAAAAATTTAGTATGTACCTCTAATACGTTACGATGCCGATTACCTCGAGATATATTTATACAATTTTGATTACTTAATGCGAAGCGAATTTGTTATGCAAAATTCTCTTCAATCCATTTAATACTCAGCTAGTGTCTGTCATGATCTTCTTGTATGTCTGAACTTCTAGTATCTCAGTATCACTTTTACTGTAATCTTTGGCATTTAATGCGTTCACCCTTCTAAACAAGGATCTGGTAATTATACCAAATTGACTAATTTGTACCGATTTTTTTAGGTTAAGAAGGATGCCTGGCTAACATTTGACGTCAGATTGGGTTATCGAAATGATGGAGATCCGCCAGGAGAATGGACGGAAATTGCTCATTCCACAGAAGTACGCCCTCTTTCCTGCACTCTTGACGAACAGTCCCATTCTAAACTCGGCTCTGCCGATGAATTCAAATTCTACGACTGCGAAGTACTCCCCCTCTTCACACTTGGCAGTTGTCATCATGAAAATTACCTTGTCAATATACGCATCCCAATGGATATAGATAACAAAGTCAATCACGAGATTGGTCTTCTTCAGGATGTGTGGATGGTGGAAATTCACCAAAATGGTGGTTTTACTATGGTGAGTTTTAATACAATAAAGCGTTAATTTAACTATCTACAAACTCTTCTAACTCGAACCCACATCGATAGCTATATTGCCATCATTGGGTCACAAGCTTTTTTCTCTGCCGGCTTGTTAGGAGCTACTGTGAAAGAGTGGGAAATTTTCTGGTGAACAAAAGAATTCCCACAGTCACATAGCGCGAGCATAAATGCGACATTTAACTCGTAGTTTCCTTACCCACTGCCTTCTGTTCACGCTTGCTGATAGTTTACCTCAACTCCATTCCCTTTTTATGCTTTTATGCAGTTCCTCAACGAGATGTCTCATTGTTGCTGCTGTGAAGTCTTCTAGTTATTTCCCTGGCGATTGGAGGGTTGGGGTGGGGNGGGGGGGGGGGGGGGGGGGGAGGGGTAGGGGGAGATTAATTGCGATTGAACTTCTGGCCATGAAGGGCTTTCGGCTTTAGCACCAGCCCGTGCTCTTCGAGAGCACTTCTTTGATTATGTGTCATCTGTGGTCTGAATATTTCGTCGATGTTTCTGTAATTGTCAATGTAACGTTTATTGAACTATTTATTTACTTATTTATTTCAAATGGCA